CATGCCGTGTCTGCTGCAAGTGGTGGCATGGGATGTGGTGGAGAAACACCGAGTGAGTGGCGCGAAAGCCCTGGCTCTTCACTTCCCCGACAGCGGTCCCCTGATGGGAACGTTCTGCTCCACTGTAGCTTACCTCCTCTCCCCCGCAAACAGTCACCCCTGCCCCTGGAGAGTGGTTCGGAACGAGAAACGAGCTCCGAAATGCCTCCATCGCAACGTCATGAAATTCACCATCCCAAAATACGTCGGAACCGTTTCACTCATCGATCACTTCAGCCACTTCGAACTCCACCTATGCACCCACCCCAAAAAGGCAGCTCAGCTGTGGAAACTGGCACATGACGCAGTGTTTGCAGGTCTGAAGAAAGCAGGGAAGACCATCGGCTACACAAACAACACTCCAGTCCCTGCCATCGTATGCCCCGCCCACCCCCGCCCAGCCAAACCCCACCCCGCCACTGTTGACAAGGACAGAGTGTGGACATGCTCAATTGACCCTGAAAAGTTTGGAGACGTTGACGAGGACTCTATTCCTTGGCTGACCCTCTGCACGTCTACCTGTGAGTGTGGTTGTCCACCCACTGAGGGCTCTAATTGGGACATCCTCACTATTTCCCTACAGCTGCTGAGTCAGCCACACCCTCTCCTTTCCCTTCATCTTCTGCAGTTCCCTCCTCCTCCCAGCCTCCCCTCTCTATCTCCACAGCTCCTGCCTCCTCTACCACTGCCACCACTACTACCAACACTCCGGGTGAGTCCTTGCATCTCTATGTGCCCTACCACCACATGATGTGTACATCAATACCCCTGATGTATCGACTGACTCTTACCTTTAGTCGTTGCTCTCTCTCTCTCACTTTATTTGCAGGTGATGGTGTCTGTCGACCCACTCTGCCAGAGCTACTTCTTCTGGAAATCCCAGTCGGTAAGTGTGTAGCTTTTCATGTATAGTGCGTAGCACATGCCTATACTTGGGCACTCATACTAACACTAAAAAGGGGGATGTGTACAACTCACGTAACAATGACACGTGCAACAAGGGACACAGCTTATTGCGTATGATAAGGAAGTCAAAATTTTCTCTCATAAAGTTAAAAGTGCATCTTTGTTTAACTTATCAGGTTGCCCATTTTGTTTTTGGGACATGCATATTTATTCGTTCAGGGGTGTCAATCTGGTGGCACCAAGCGCAATTTTAAAGCGCGACAGAGAAAATGAAGCGCCGGGCCCTAGCACGCCAAAGCTTATCTGCACAATGTGGAATAACATTGTTAGCTGAACTAGTATGAACTGAAGCAATTGGGTGGCTGTCCCTGGCGCCATGTTTTTGCTGAGATTTTGCAGGTTGACACCCCTGTTCATTGCTAAATTGGCTCGATTTGAAAGTAAAGTTATGGTGCGAGAACCAAGTGAACATTAGTGGAGGCAAACTGTGGATGAGAAACATGGGTGTGCCCATGGGCTATGGTTTGCTATTATATTTCAGGGAAATCCCCTGATATCAGAGGTGTAGACGTAATTGAACAGACGAGGATAGAGATATCTCCAGACCAGCCACTCGACTATCACTGGGAGTGTCATGGGTTCAAGGTTCAAATCCCAGCTGGTGCCATTGCTACGACAGGGCCAGTGACTAGGGGTGAGAATATCATTGCAAATATTATAACACTCCACCAATTAATAAGCTATTAAGTTCCAGAAGCGTGTCATTATTGCAGAAACTATTCTTACACCTGCCAGTGGTGACACATATCCGGGCTAGTCTGAGTGGAGAATACAAGCTCCCGGACGACAGAGTCCTTGTCAGTGAAGTCTTCTGGCTCTCACTCGATCCTCACGTGCAGACATTTGACAAGAAAGTCACCCTCACTCTCCAGCACTGTGCCTCGGATGACGACTCCACACTCACCTTCATTACATCCACACAAGACAAGCCACCTTACACCTTCCTCCCACTACCAGGAGGGTCCTTCTCAGAATCAGGGCATGCAACCATTGATGTAGACCATTTCTCACCGTTTGGGCTGATTGCAAGAAGAAAGTCGTATGCTTTCTGCACATTTTACCTACCCGTTGAAAAGCCAAAAACACATCAAGTCCACATCACTGTTACTCCAATCTGAAAATTCATCTTGAGGTAATAAACCACATCTTATGCGATATAGAGTACAATGTGTAGCACTCTTTGAATTGTGTTTGTGTGCAACATTCAATAATTATTTTTTTTAGGAAGTGAACAAGGTGTATAGAGAAAGACAGGGTAAAAAGGGTCTTGAAATACAATCCTGCCTTAAAGAAAGAACAGTTTCACTCCACATCCCCGATATTGGCATCCCTAGGAGCACTTGGGAGAAAGATGGTTGGAATCTCACCCCGTTAACATCTCCATCGGTAAATCCATTACTCTTCTATTTGTGACCTGCTACGGGAAAGGGGCCCATTTGACGCGCAAAATTTTTTTCGAGATTTTGTACGAGCCTGTTGCTAAAAGCCCGCTCCGTACTATGATGCAATCGCAAATCGCGTAACGTGCTTAGCTTTCGCGCTACACGCAGCGATAGCGAGGGTGTCCCTAGAAACGGGAACGGAGATATTGACCTCAAAGATCAACTTCCGGTCTAAATCCGAAATTCCGTATACGCGATCGCGCGGCGCGCACGTAACACGATTACGTATAACTGACCGCGTAATTTTCTCCATGGAATGCCCGGTTATGGCTGGCCGCACGGGGAAGGTCTCGGGAAAGACACGGCACTGCGCGGTCCCTGAACGGCGCACGGAGCTTTTTTCTTCGCGAAAAGGTAGACAAATGATCGTAGTTTCTTGCTGTGTAGATATCATGAAGGGTGGATTTTCCGCGTGTTCTGGCCGTTTACTCGTAAAATTTATTTTGCGTCAAATGGGCCCTTTTCCCGTAGCAGGTCACATTTAGTTTTTTCGAATTTATTCAGCTTGAAAAGAGACATATAGAGCGATATAAGCCAGGAAGATCAATTCCTTGCTTTGCAATCAAATTTGAAGAGATTTCACCCCGGCAATGTTTAGTACAGAAAGTCTTGTTCGCAGGAGTTGAAGAAACCAAAACATTCTTGTCCATAGGTATGGATATTTTACCATGTTATTGATCGTATATAACTAGTGCAAAATGATCATTTTCATAGTATATATACGTAGTTAAATTTGCAAAAGTGATTGAATGTGCTCACTTTAGATACTCTCTGTGGAAATCTTGCTGTAGTTGTGGATATCCTAAGACTTACCACATTCTTGTAGCTAACTCAGGATTACTATGAGCTTTCCCTTCTCTCTCCCTCTATATAGAGACCCCACTCTCTCCTACCTCATCTGCCCCCACTACTGCTCCTACCACCACACCTACCACTGTTCCTATAACTGCTCCTACCACTGATCCTGCTCCTGGTGAGTTGCAAGATCTGTTTTGCATTGCACGATAATCTGTGGTTAACACCTAAAGCCTCTGTTGTCACTCTGAGACTAACATAAAGACTCTTTAACCCACTGAAGGCAGGGCACCTGGTGTCCTACCTTTTTATGTGCAAGTGTGCTGTTTGTCTCGCGTGTGTACCTGGGAGGTGGAGGGTGACTTCTGGTTTCTCTATTATTCAGAATGCTATAAACATACATTTTTGTGAAAAGGTTTACTTACTATGCTAGTGTGAGAATGGTCATTTCAGGGAAATGTAGGAAATGGTATGTACTGGTGAAGGAGGTGCTTTTGGGGCATATGCCTCTTCTCACAGTGTTCTGTTGAGACGATGCCACTATATGTGTGCACGTCATAAATGGGGAATTTTCGCATAATCTCTGTGTATGCTTTGTCTGACGATGTTGTCATGGAAATGATGTAACATGCAATTCATACCAAGTTTCATATCCATGCGAGCTACTGTTAGCAAGTTTGATGAGAAGTGCCTGAGGCTGTTTGAACGATATGTCGTCGTCATAGAAACATATAGTTGTCATGGAAGTAATGTAATAATGTGTACCAAGTTTCATCTCTATGCATGCTACCTTTAGCGAGTTTGAGTAATGAAGTGTATATAGTTAAGGCTCTTTATTGCTGTTCAAACAAAGTGTTTGTCATGGAAATGATGTTACATGCATGCATGTACCAAGTTTCATCTCCATGTGTGGTACCGTTAGCGAGTTTGAAGAGTGAAGAAGTAATTATACAGAAAAGTTCCGGAGGCTTTTTGTTGTTGTGGTCGTCATGGAAACAATGTAGTACACATGCACACCAAGTTTCACTTCCGTGCGTGCTGCAGTTAGCAAGTTCGAGGAGTGAAGAAGTAGTTTTAAAGAAAATTGCCTGATTGTCAGGAACTTATTACTTCTTCGTTCCTCAATCTTGCTAATGGTATATACCACGAATGGAGATGAAACTTGGTACGCATGAACAAAATACACCATGTGATGCCAAGAGAAAAAAGATGTGGAGCTCTGGACAGCTGTTTTGGGCTTGTTGGCCCTCATCAGCAGAGCATACCACAATTTCTTTGGCACCACGAGTTTATAAAGGCTAAGTTGAGCGCAGCGCTTGTGGTTCTGAACTAATGAGATTCATCCCCACAAGGCTTTGCTCGGGCGCAGCGCTTGTGGTTCTGAACTAATCCCAACAAGGCTTTGCTCGGGCGCAGCGCTTGTGGTTCTGAACTAATGAGATTCATCCCCACAAGGCTTTGCCAGTACTGAGCATGCATATTTTGCTCTGGACAGCTGTTTTGGGCTTGTTGGCCCTCATCAGCAGAGCATACCACAATTTCTCTGGCACCACGAGTTTATAAAGGCTAAGTTGAGCGCAGCACTTGTGGTTTTGAACTAATGAGATTCATCCCCACAAGGCTTTGCTCGGGCGCAGCGCTTGTGGTTCTGAACTAATGAGATTCATCCCCACAAGGCTTTCCTCGGGCGCAGCGCTTGTGGTTCTGAACTAATCCCAACAAGGCTTTGCTCGGGCGCAGCGCTTGTGGTTCTGAACTAATGAGATTCATCCCCACAAGGCTTTGCCAGTACTGAGCATGCATATTTTGCAACCACATGTTTGTAAACAACGGGCATTTTTTCTAATTTCACAGAGATAATACGTAGTAGTATTTAAAATGAGTGGAGACAAATAAATTAAAACTCCTACGAATTTTTTAAAAGTCGCATATAGGGATGGTATAAAAAGACAAGATATAGGGATGGGATACATGAAGCACGGTTAATGAACAGATTTGAGCACGCTGACACCCCCGACCCCATCACACAATCCCTATATTGTGCTTGTATACTAAGTACTATTGTACTTAGTAATAAATTATCCCTATGTGACAGTACACGCAAAATTCAGGCATCAGATTTTGAATGGGGGTCTTTTTGCGCTTGAACACTCTCTACTAGTTCCCAAGGTTTTTTTCCCTAAACTGCCCACTAAGCTTCTTCACAGATAATGGAGAATCCTGGGGGTTATAAAAGTTAACATTCTGCATGTCAATAGAGTAAAATGTTTACCTACAACCTACAACCAGTTGAACGGCAGAAAAAACATAAAAATGACAACTCAAACTTGATTAAGTTTAAGCCAAGAAGTCTTGGCATGGTCATCTGTACTTCTTATAAATAATAGTTAGACGGCGTGTCCGTGAAATCTACGCGATTTAGAAGGTCGAGGGCCCTGGGCTGTAGCGTTCGAGCATAGCGAGGACGCTACCAAGGGCCCAAGGCCTTCTAAATCGCGTAGATTTCATTGGACGAGCTGCCTAGAGCGCGCGCAAAGGCCCTAGCAAGAGAAACGTACAGAATCTTGCAGCTGCACAATGTTTTGCGAAGAAATAGAGGAGTGTTTGAACTCTAGTAGATCTGGTGACGAACTCGACTCGCTCCTACTTGAAGCCAGCGAATCGATGCAGCGCGCTGTCGGCACAAAGCATCCACAGCCCCTCCCAGAGTACACGCCCCCTACAACTGCGCACGCACGTGGTGCCGCAACCTCCTTGTCGAGCTGCTCCCACGCTCCAGCCTTTCCCACACCATCGACCTACTGCCACCGCTGAGCGCTTTGCTCCTCCGAAATCAACCGAGGAAATTGTCCGCGCTCGAGAGAAGGGCATCCCAAAGAGAACACAACAAGACACAAAATACTGTGTAAACATTTGGGATGAGTGGAGGGAGTATCGGAGGAGATCTACAGGCATTCTCATTGCACCACTGCAGCAGTTGCCACCCCACCAGCTCAATGAGTTCCTCACCATGTTCGTTTTGGAGGCAAGGAAGAAAACTGGTAAGGTCTATCCTCCGAATACTTTACACCACATCGTTTGTGGGCTCATGAGACATCTACGACCCACGGGAAATCCACAGATAGATTTCTTTAGAGATCCCGAGTTTTCAGGGTTTAGGGCATCACTGGATGCTGAAATGAAACGGTTGCAGTAGGAGGGGGTTGGGTCGAAACGAAAGCAGGCTGAAATTTTGACAGAGGCAGAAGAAAATGTTTTGTGGGCAGAGTCTCCTGGGTGAAGCAACTCCACAGACACTACTAGACACAGTAGTCTTTTACAACGGCCTCTACTTCGCTCTCAAGAGTGGGCAATGGCACAGGCAGCTTCGACGAGAGCAATTCAATATAGAAGTAGTGGAGCACCCAGGAGAGAGACCGTATCCCAGATACACAGAGGACACATCGAAGACCATCCTGGTGGCCTCCGGGGTCGAAAACAATCCCAGAAGGTGGTCGTCACTTCAACCCTACCAACACACAGCTTTGTACGCCTGTTCAAGCTGTACCTTGAGAAATGCCCACCAGGCGCACCATCTCATGCATTTTACTTGCGGCCTGCACACATCCCGACATCGTCTTGCTTGTATTCAAGGTGCGTATTGGGTCACAAAACTCTGAGCAAGACTGTAGCTCGTCTGTGTTAATCCGCTGGATTCGAAACCAATCACTCGCTCAGAGCTACCGCAACGAGTCGTCTATATCACTCAGGTGTCGACGAGCAACTCATCATGGAGCGCACGGGTCATCGGAGTCTTCAGGGAGTAAGGTCTTACAAAAGAACCTCGGACACACAGCTGTCTGACATTCTTAACCTGGAAAAAAGACCCGAAGATTCTATTTCTGCCCCCTCTTCTCTTCCGCCAGACATCACAAAGATCTCAAACACACAGACAAACAAGCAACTTGTTTCAGGGCTTAGTCTGCCGTCTTGGAAAACTGCACCGTGAACTTCTACATGGCACCGGGGAACAATCCAAGTACAAGTTCTTGCAGTTCCAGGAAAAAGCCCAAACGAGTGATGATCGACAAAACCCATGCACGTCCCAGTATGCAGTAACACATCACATGCTGCACAACGGCTACACAACTCAACTGCAATTCTCTTTCACGCACATCTATACCTCACGTGTTATTGTGCGCATGCGCAAATTAAATTACGTAAAGCGCGCTACAGATCGCGCCCGGGCACTTAGTAAAGTCATCCTCGAGAGTTACTACGAGATTTAGTAAGCCTGTTTTCATGGGCGAGTGCGCTGTAATGCAGTGTGGTCATGTGAACAGGAGCACAAAATTAGCAAATTCACTTGAATCAGATCCTAGGTACATATTAGTGCAAGGTCTCTGAGGCTGGTATATCCCTTTCGGTTACTAAATTTACACACTTCTAGAAACGTCAAGAAAACTCGCACATTTGTGAACTTTGACCCGGTAGCTAAGCGGGCGACATGGCGGCATTATCTCATAAAAACCACCCACGCGTCCTCAGAAGTGGTCAGTCGGCACTTGGATGTGGCGGTCGGAGCTTTGATGTTGCTTTCATCTACCCTTTGAGTACTCAAAATTAATGTTATAAAGCAAAAGGTCGGGAATGAGTGAGACTTGTCATAAATGTCTCAGCAGGCTGAAAGGCAGGCACAGAGGCTGTGCATAGATCTGTAAAATGGCAGAAAGAAAGATCGCCACAGCGTGCGTGCGCAGGATGAAAGGGGTGTGTCGATTTGGGCAGAATTACGAATGCGTGCAGGAGAGTTGCTGAAAACGCCGATCAGTCGCAGAAGACGATTTCGTTACTGAAAGAGATATACAGTGCTAGTCTCTGTCTTCAAAACATTTTTTTATTCACCAGTTAACTGGGAGTAATTTAGTTCAGGCACCTTGCTTATATGCACTGAAAAGTTTTGTGGATAGAGTTCACCCTATGTTTAGATCATTACACTGCCCCTTATAATAGCACCAAATGCACTCTAATTATTGGTGAACGGAAGTGGCCAACCTAGGCATCAAAACACACTGACATGGATGTCGTGTTTCTTGGCGTATGTCTCCGTGCTAACGCCTGACACCAGGACGCGCGACCTCCTGGCATATGGGCACTTGGTGCTCAGAGAGGCCCAGCATCATGGCGGCCCTGGCTGACCGGAATACGACAACATTTTCAGGCAACATGCCGCTCTGGACCCGGCAGTTAGTGGAATGAGCTGAATGCCAGCCTACATGCCTCCACCGTGATGACCTATCGGTCTGGACCAAGCCACTGCTGTGGCTTATGTCATGAGCCAGACCACGACGCAGCAAACTGTTAGGCCTCCAGTCTCAGCCTCCGCAGCTGCCACCCACCCGCAGTGGGGTACCCATGCAGGGAGGGCCGGTCCGGACGACAGCTCGTCCGGAGACACTCTAGAGGATCTGTGTGTCCTGGAATAGGGGTCGCTGCTCCTTCCCCTCCTGCTCATTTCAACACATTATGTGCTACATGCAAGCGGCGTGGCCACAGGGCCAGAGACTGCGATGAGACACCAGCTGACTCCCCTTACAAGTCGTCCCCAGTGACCTATCCGAGGTCTTCCCGCGGTCAGGGGAGCAATGGAACGCTCAGTTCCAATGCGTAGACTCAGTGACCACCTGTGACACTCCCCACCTTCGCATGTACTTCCATTACCTCTTTCTACATATCAGTAGTACTGGAGGTTAGCTATACTGTGTGTTGAATCGAGAACAGGTTCGACTGGCCGAACAGCTGGACAGCGTTTACGCCTTGGATGAAGGTGAATTAAATTTAATGTACTAGCGTTAATATAGAACGGCCGGTCTGCGCATGCGTAGAGGATTGCTGAGTCACTGGGTTGCCACAGTGATCTAACTTGCAACTTAGAGACTTAGTACTTAGATACCTGGCAGACCCAGTAGTACAGGTTTTAGACACTTGATTACTCCACTCAACATCAAAGGGAATTATTCATGAGAGGTTCTAACAGGGTTTGGACACCTGTGGCATGAGTGGGAGCTCACGGAGAAGACAGTTGAAATAGAAATAGTGATCGAGGCACATTATGATGAAATACTTAGTGACCTCAGTTGTCAACTACTGAGGTTGGTATTTCATCATCCGTGACTGAGCACAAGAAATCTGATGAAAACAGCCACCTGTGAGAATATTATGTCCGCTGCCGCGAGTGACACAGACAGTAAGTTACTTGCGCTTCACACACGATCCTGCTGTTCTTTAAAGCTGTTGGTGTATCCTGTGTTGCTTACCCACCAGAAATTTAGAACCGATTAAGCATTGCACCTTTACAGACGATGGCTAACTATAGTTCTTAGTTTGGTATAGAGTTCAGTTGGCTGTCGTATCTAATGCACATGAAAGTGTGTGTCCTTGCTTTCCCTACTTCTGTTGACGCTCCTACTCTCCCACAGCCCAGGTCCATGCCATGACTAGCTGAGCGTAAGAAGACTGTGAAGTGTAAATGACAGCTCCTTGCTCTGTTATTTTCACACTAAATAAGCACATGTGGGCACCCTACTTCACATTATTGTGTCACCCCCGCTCACCAAAAATGCACAGCATTTACCTAGTAGCAATAGTATCGCCATCTATCATGTTTTTATCAGATACCACTGAAAGAGACATGTTGGAAAAGGAAGGAAGATTTAAGCAAAAGAATATGGTAGTAGTTATCACTGGTCTAAAACCACACTTCTTCACCAATTGTTTGGTGAAGCTCTCCCCGAGAAGTACACTAGCACAGGGGTTACAAATCAGCCCTGGCGAGGACTAACTTCATATATGATGGACGCAAATGAGGATGTGTTTAAGCTCCTGAAAGATCATGAGGATATTTTTGAGCTGGTAGCTAAAGTCGAAATAAACACTTCGTATGAAGAAAAAGTTGTTCAGACTGCAAAAAGGGAAAATGTTCCTTCGATACAAAAAGAAGAAATAGTTGACAAAACTGCTCAGGCTGCAGGAAGGGAAAATGTTATTTCACTACTAATGCAAATGGAAGCACATGCTAACAGCACAGAATTACCCAAAGTTGGAGATGAGGAAGAGGCATTAGATGAACCTAAAGAAAATAATATGCCCACTGAGGCTATCCCTGAAACAACAAAGCCAACTGTAACTGAAGAAAGTTCAGGTGAAGATATGGACCAAGTTAAAGATGTCACTAAAAATCCTGTTAATAAAAAACTGCCACTTTCCTTTGAAGAAATGGCAAAAAAGATTCGTAAGAACCCAGAGAAATGTTATGGCAAATTAGAGATTGTACATATGATTGATACAGGTGGACAGCCAGAAAGTTTGGAAATCATGCCTTTCTTGATTCACAATGCGCATCTCATACTTTTGGTGGTAGACCTGTCAGTATCTCTTGATGAATGTATAATACCTACTTTTCATAAAAATGACCGTGGTTTTAAGAAAAAGAGTCTAATTACTTGCAATAGAGAGCTTATTCAGCAACTTGCCCAAACTCTTGTGGCAGCACAAGGTGAGGAAAACGACACTAACGCAAGAATCTTTGTTATTGCTACTCATAAAGACAAAGTTGAAGATGAAGAAAAACTCAAAACACTTAAAGAAAAATTAAACGCTTTGGTAATGGAAATTATTCCTAGTAAATCAGTGTTCACCAAAGCAACAGATGAGAGTGTGTTTGATATAGATTTACTTGATCCTGACATACCTACTCTACATGCAATACGTAGAACAGTTACACGAGAAATGAATAAGATGAAGGAGCTTGATGTTCCTTTGTCATATGTTATGTTTGAAAGGCAAGCCACGGTTCACATAAAGGAATTAAAAAGAAAGGTTAATGTTTTAAAGCTGGAAGAATGCTGTGACTTCGGAAGAAGACTAAATATGAACGAGTATGCTGTTAAAAATGCTCTGAAATACTTCAATAAGAATAACATCATGTTGTTTTTCGAAGATATAGGCGAAGGGCTTGTAATTCTGGATCAAAACACCCTCATTGACTTCGTGAATACTGTTATATTTTTCAGCTATGAGGCTGCAAATGAGGATCAAGGTCAAATACTAACAGCTAATGAGAGAGATTCTCTTAGCAAAGGATTGATTACAGAAGAGCTTTTAAAAAGAATGCAACATATATTTGTTCCTGAAATATTTGAAGCTTGTCATGCTATTAAAGTCTTTAAAAATCTCTATATCGTTGCTAAGAATTCGGAAAGTGACTATATCATGATGTGCTTGCTTCCACGATTATCGGAGGAAGAGCTAGAGTCATGGAAGCTGGTTTTCACGACGTGTCAACCAGTGCAGCCACTAAGACTGGACTTTGGCATTGGTGATCCCCCTGAATGGAAACAATACTGCTCCCCCAGTGGTTGTTTTGGCAGCACTATTGCTTGCCTCATTACCGACTTCAATTGGAGAATATGTACTGATGTTTTATATGACGAAGCTCCTGTGTGCTTTTATCATGACATAGCTATACTTTGTCCGAAACAACGATTAGAAGTAACTCTTGTCAACAAGACCAAGTATTTTGAGGTCTATGTAGGTGTAGATCCAGAGAATAGGGGCAAATATAATGAGCTTCCTGCAATTAGAAGTGAAATAAAAGAAGCAGTTGGAAAGGTTTTAAAAACAATGAAGGTTAACCTCAGTGTTGCAGAAGGGTTTGAGTGTGACTGTGAGAACACCAAATACCTTATAGAAAATTATGCTAAGTGCAAGTGTGGGCTGGAGGAGGAATTTAAAAGTCTTTGGATTAAAGCTGAACAGGGTATGTTCCATATAACTATTGATAGATGCTGAATTCTAGGGACTTAGATAAATTCAGAAACCCGAAAGTGAAGCTGTGATGCACCGAGTGCACTACATTGCCAGAGTTTATGTAGGTTCCAGCATGTTACCTTTATAGTGCACTGCATGTGCACAAAGAGTCCACTTCCATCATCATGACTTACAACACGGCAGCATGCATGAAAACGAAACGTTTCTTACCATGTACATTATTCTAAACAGGTTAGCTAGTGCGCACAATTATAAACATAAAATACTTTCTGACTAGACTACTCAGCTCTGTACAGTGTATTGTTGATATATCCTATCCGGTCTCCTTTCAGCATTAATGAAGTACGCGGCTGAGGCACAGAACCAAGGAGGAGGTACGTGAAAACTACGAGGTAGAAAGGTAAAAGCACAACAAATAGGTCAACTACACCCAGGACAGCTCTCATTTTTCGAAGGGAAAGAGAGCTGCCCTAGGTGGGATTCAAACCGACAACACTTCGCAGTCTAGGCGAGTGCTCTATATACCACCTGAGCTACCAGGGCAACATGTGCTGCAGTATGTTTGGTTACAATGACTTCGTTGTTATTATTTACTCCAGGACTGGTACGCATGCGTCAGTTAAAAAAACTAAGGATTGTGGACAAAAGTTCAAAGCTCTATAAAGACATTGGAACCAAGCTTCTTACAACTGCTGCATTAGTGGACTCAATATCAGAAGTAGCAAATGAAGACCCCAAAAAGGCAATAAGACTGATATACAGAAGATGGATACGCACAGACGAAGGCCACTCGTGGAGAAAACTGACACAATGTTTCAAAGATGTTGGGCTTAATTCTCTTGCCCGGGACCTTGAAAAACACTTTGAGCTTCCTTCACTTTCAGGTAAATTTTTATTATGCACATGTATATATTTCGTATTCGTGTATGACAGCGGTATGCCTAATATTAGTTCCCTTCCCCGGCAGAATGTCTGGCCCCACAAGACTATATAACAGTCCCTAGTTTGAATCCAAGCTCAGCCATCGTTTCCCGTTTTTCCCCCATTGCACATGCGTTGCGTACAGTAGCAACGTAAGTTGACCCTTGGAATTCTTGGGGCCCCAATGAGATTTATTATGCTCCAGAAGAGTATGTCAGGAAGATCAATTCCCTGCGTTGCAATCAAATTAGAAGAGATTTCACCCCGCCAATGTTTAGTACAGAAAGTCTTGTTCACAGGAGTTGAAGAAACAAAAAAATACCAGTCCATAGGTATGAATATATGTAGCTATTTCACCATGGAATGCTAGTGATCAATTTAGTTTCTGACAGTCTGACAGTTTAAGCATAGTGATCATTTTTCATTGTATGTACGTAGGTATATTTTGTGAGTGCACTTGAAAAGGCATGCAAGAAAATGTGTGTTGGTCTAAAAGGCGGATTTCTATGGCTTTTGCCTTGGGGGGACTTCACGTTTTAGTGGGAAGTTGTTCCTTAGTTCACTTTCACATATTCACGTATTGCGTCCAGCCTACCTCTCACTACTTACATACAGAGGCACAGCAGGAAGGAAGTCAAGAGACTCAATACCTACCATCACCTTCTGACACCAATGGTACCTCCATTTCAAGTTGCAGTGTGGATTTAGATGATTTTTATACACAACTTTAACCCCTTTTAGGAAACCAAGGTCGCCAAACCAACACTCCTGGTGAGTCCTCTTCCCCGTATTTGTATGGACACAAAGCAGACCCTTTGTTCATTATACACTCTCTACAGTTCTCTCTACCTCTCCTGCTACAGTGTCCACAGCTCCTCATCCTGTCTCCTCCATTCCTGGTTGGTCCCCTCTTCAAGAGCATTGCTGACTGTTTGTTTTTGCCTTCTACTGTCTCTCTCTCTCTATACTCAGTCATCAGTCGAATGTCCCTAACAGTAATTGCCAGGGATCACCTCAAAAACTGGAAGACATTTGGGCCATTTCTGGGCCTCACTGAACAGCAAGAAACTGCCATTGCCAACAACAACCCTCATGACTACGACCTCCAGAAGCGCGAGTGTCTTGAGGTGTGGAAGAAGAGGAGGGGGAGGGAGGCCACATACCGAGCCCTCATCTCGGCGCAGAAGAGGCGAGGGACAAAGAGTTGGCGGACAACATCAAAGGTATGCTAGAGAAATGAATACCGTACCACGTATATTTCTTTGTGGTCCACCAAACCTTTTACTGTGACAACTGTGTCTTGTGGGTTAGCTAGATGGTCTGTAATTAGCCTGTGTGCTCACCACAACCTTTCAGAGTGGAAACCCTCGGTACAGAACCATGTTCCTGCAGCGTCTCAAGAAGCAAAAGTAATAGCTACTTCACCCACACTTGGGAATGCTAAAAACAAAAGGAGGTTGGCTATAGACATGCCAGCAAGAATCCAATGGCAGTATCCTTGTCGAAGAGCGTTTGTACTGCTAGACCAAAGCGGTTGAATGGGAGGAACCTCTCTCTTTTGATCTACTGCATTCTCATGTATCACAAAACGCATGCGTGTGTCAGTCATGAAAAAGCAAATCACGGCCCTGGCCGGGGTAAACAAAAGGCGCTCTAATTTTGTAGGTACATAAGTGCTTTTTTATTTTGTTTTCGTCATCGTAGTCAATAATCTAGTGTCCTATGTTGCACGGTTCAGAGCGCGAGATGGTTCAACCATGTGCAAAAACCCGGCCAAGAGTGACGCCAACGCTGCACTGGCTTTATAAATCCACGGTGCGCATGCACAGCGAGGGTTACTGTAGTTGTCGTGTGTGTCTGTCTGTTGGTCTGTTACTCGACATCTCACTTCACGATCCATGAAATGAGGTTTAAATGGACCTTGCATGATGTATGCATGGGAAACTGGCTGACCTTATTACAGGAGCCACAGAGGGAGAGAGGGAAGTCGGGCATGAACTAGCGGTGGTACTGGTTTCCAATTGGTGCCTTCTTCTTTGTAACCACCACTGAAGGAGAGTAGCCTATTGGGTGGGTGATGAGTATGCTAGAGCTGACAAGGCGACCAGTATAAAGGTGATGCGTTTTGAGCATAGCGAATCACTGAGATTTACTCACGTCATCCCTATATAGAGTGTCTACCGACGCTCTGATAACTGAATGATCCTAGCATTAGAATCTGCTCCAAAACTTTTCCATTGGTATGACTTAAAGATTTCATGATGGGTTTATACATACGTAGCTATTTCGTGTTTCTTTTCTTCCCTCCCCAGCTGAGATGGATTTTGCCCAGACAGGGTCCCTAGTCAAAGACAGACATCTCCTCCAGCGACAATCGTCTGCTGCTGGTGTGTTTACTACTTCTCATTAGCACATATCCACCACATACTAACTATAGTAGGTATGACCGCGTGAACGCAAACAGACTTTAGTTGCTATGTAAATGGCAACAAAATTAGTTTTGCTTGGAAAAAAACTGTCAGGCAGAGGCCCTCACACATTGCAACACAATGTGGCACTCTGGGCCCTGGCAACAACTGATACATAATCCATCTAGCCTACCTCTCACATAATTAACCCTCGGCGCGCATACGCAGCAAGGGTTACTGTAGTCGTTCGTGTGTGTCTGTCTGTCTGTCTGTCTGTTACTCTCAATCTCACTTCTCGAGTGTTCGTTCGTCTCACAAAGGATACGACCTACTTACGGGCAATGAAGGTCTGAAATTTCGAACGGTTTTCTCTGAAAATGCTCCATTGCAAAGCTAGAGCGCGAAAAAGCCAATATGCAAATACACTACGGACCGGGATGGCTTAACGCGGTCGGATCGATCTGCATGCTCTGCGTACTTCGGAGGCACCAGAAGATGCAACGCAGGGCGTGTATCACCTCTCGCGTGCTATCTAGTTTTGTAGTTAGCCCGCGTCAGACTCTGCGCGAGCTGGTAAGAGACCACGAGTAACAGCTAAAACTAAACCCAGCCCATCAATTAGTGGTACGGCGCATGCATTTACTTATGCGTGCGCGTCACAGTGCGCCGAGGGTTTGCACTTCAGTGCTTTACAGCGGCACTACAGGAAGGAAGTCAAGACCTACCATCACGTTTTGACATTACTTGTACCATTTAAAATTTCAGTGTGGGTATAGATATTTTTTTATGTACCACCTTTAGGAAGCACACAAAAAGCTGTAACTGGTAATGGCCTATGCTTGTATAATTATACATGATACATAAAAAAAAATGGTATCATTATGTGTCGTAGGACAAAGAGGTGACGTGAGAAACAGACAAACTGTAAAAGAGCAGGAATCACACCCAAACCAAAATGGTACATATGTATATATGTACCGCTTCTGTGCAATATTTATTCTTACAATTTTCCTTCAGATGATGATAGAATTACATCCAGTGACACTACTTCACATTCACAAAGTGCACTAAGTAAGTGCGTAGCACATGCCTATGATTGGACACTCATGTATACTACCACTAAAGGGGGGATGTCACTGTGTATATTCTATGCCTAGCACCTCTGTATGTTTTGCAGGGCAAGGCTGTTTAGGGAAACTGGTGATACTTTTCGGCATTCTGATCTTTGTGGCAGTCGGATTTCTTTACTACTTTTTGTCTTAGTCTGTTGTGTTGTGCATTAGCCTGGACTGTCACAACCTCTTTCTGTACTTCTCTCCCTGTATGTGTCAGCAGCAGCACATGCATATCACATTTTCCTTCTCACTCTGACTGTGTCTGACGTGCATGTGAAAGCCACCCACACAGCATACGTTACCACCACTGTCTGTCGCTACCACCCAGTCTCCTTGCCTCCAGCAGTCACTGCACACACACAAAGGCTCCACCAAACAAATGCTCCACTGCATTCCATTGTCATTTCCCGTTCTCAATCTCTTAAACGCATTCATGACTAAATGCACTTCCTCCCTTGAGTGAGCTCGTTTGCTTGAAGTGGAAATCTGCTCTCATTAACGATTTGTTGAACTTGTAAAACACAATGAAAATGTCGTTCTCTCTAATAGTCCATTCTCCATGTCCACTTGTGGGACTATTATAACATAGAGAGAACGAGAGAGGAGGGAGATGAGTGCAGGAACAGCTGGGGGTGGGTAAACTAGTACGTTATGGCAAAACCTACGCAAGACACACTTGTCTTACAATAATTATTATTGAAATACACTAAAACAACAATATTTCAGTCTACAGTAAAATTAGAATTCTGAGAGTGTCATGATCTTGTGGCTTAGTTCTTTTTTTCTTATCTTGTATTCCTACAACTGCACAAGTGTAGCTACTCACTCAGACATACACCACATGGGGTGCATGTACACATGTTTGAATGAGAGCCCACTGTGAGTTGTGTAAGACTATTGTTACTGCTGGGAGAACCCTTTAGTCCCATCTGGACCCTTTGGCTGACGGATTATCACACTGAGTAGGGAGGAAGAGCAGAGTATGGGTCATAAGTACAATGAAATGCACTAAAGTGCAAACCCTCAGCGAACTGTGCATGTGCCATGCTATGGCTTTTCCCCGCGGAGAGTCTGACAAATGGGCTAGCTACAGTAGAAGACAGCATGCGGGAGTTGATCACGCCCTTCGTTGTGACTTCTTGTGCCTTCAAGAAGCATGGAGCAAGCGGACCCGGTCGAGGTAAGCCTGTGCTAATTAGCATATTGGTTTTTTCACTTGCTTTTCACACCATAACTTTAGAATGCTGTAATTATGCGTTTTAAAATGAAGCCAGTGTAGCGAAGAACCTGTTGGTATCGCTATGTTGTTGTCTCGTTGTGCGCAGTCACATAAATGAGGTAACAGACAAATGGACACACACACACACACTACAAGCCAAGTACCGTAACCCTTGCTGCGCATGCGCGCTGAGGGTTAATAATTATAGAGAAGATTCTTTAAGTGTGGCACTACCAGCCATGTGCATGACAACAGTCATCTTCTCTGACTCTGGCTATTTATGCATATACGAACGCCAATTATAGGAACGTTTACGTAAATCAGTAATGGGTAAACAGTCTGTACACACGGGTGCTACACAAGTAATGAGGAATTGAGAAACTCACGTTGAGGTGAGGTTGTTAGGCATGGAGGTTCTCCTGATGAGTCTGTCAGGCCTCACTGATGCACTATAGGGTGTGGAGGTTTAAACAGTCAGTGTTACACATGTCATAGGATAAGAAAAATCATTATACTTATTCTGAGGCTTTTAGTTCCTTGTGTGTATCTATAGCTACTCACTCGTGCCTAACGCTTTTCCACTGAATGCTTAAACACATGATTAGTAGCTTCATTACTTAGGTTCAGTCACTTTTTCTTATCGTAACACTCAATCCCACCTCAAGCACTTTTGCACTAGAAATGCTGTAATGCTTACACACAGGATCAGTAGCTTCAGTACAACCACTTCCACACTACATTATCAAAACAACCAAAATGTCCTTATCCTAATTGGAGCACACCTTAGTTTCTTGACGTGGATGGCACTGGTCTTCTGGGTCTTGTGACTGACACTGATGAGGAACTCCACCTCGTCCCCAGGTCGAAGGTCACCAGGGTCACAGCCCCCCGTGAGGGAGTTCATGTGGAAAAAGACACTCCCCGGGCCCCCCTCGTTATGGTAACTAATGAACCCATACTGCAGATAGAGACGGAGAGAGATAGGTAACACATACATTAGATGTAGGCAAGAAAGGACATGCAATCAATTAGTAATGCATAATTATGGGAATAGTATGAACAAGGTAACAAGGGTTTAAACAAGCATTGATTACTTATGTAAACAGGGCATTTAGATCAATGAGAAAACAAAAGGGGAAAAGCTGTAGGATTTAATGGCGAGCAAAGCAAGCCTACTTATATAGTCGTGTAAATGTGGGACTTTTCTATACACAGGTACATACGTATATGTTGTCTCCCATCACTGCACATCTCGTAATGCTTAACGTGATTCCAAATACGTGAGACAAATCTGAACTGCTCACATTTCATTCAATCTAGTACAGTATATGTACCTGTCCCTGTCCTTTGATGCTCTCTACATTTCCTCTGAGGAAAGCATGTCTCGAGACAATGTTGACTGCCCTCATTCCTCCTCCATCTACCGCCAGTCCCACCTGGAACTGCACCTGTACACAATTACACAACACTAAATACACTTGAAAGAGCAACACAGATGCATAGGAATTGACAAAACAAACAATAGGGCCTGAAAAAATTTCCATAATTTTTTAATAACAGCTAAATTTAGCCCTTATACATAGACAACCACATTTCCTGTGATTTTGGAGCAACCCCCAATAAACACGTAAAACCGGCATCACATGCATGGGTGCTCAGTTCTTTTGGTGGCACATGTTTACCGGGTCTCCTTCCTGGAGGACGATCCTGTGGTCAATGAGACTAGTGGCAGTGTAGGGCAACTGGGGAGGCAGTGGAGAACTGGAGGAGAGAGAGAGAGACCATAATGGACACATGGCATCCAACTTGTGCTTATTCTGGTCCACACATGATTAATTCGTACATTATATGTATAGCGTGTCATGCAAAAAGTGTATTATACAATAATTATTATTTGGTACGAATGCTTGGTTTACATAGGTACGTTCTTCTGTGCTGTCAGAGCTTGTTGAACACTACACTACAAACTCACACGATTTTTATTCATAAACTTTCCCCGAAAATTAATCGTGCTATGTATAACAGCAGTAATTTAACCCCACATGATAACCAATGGAAGACAGAGAGAGACGGAAAGCCTCACCCGTTGTGTGTGGAGTTGGGTGTGGTTCCATTGGAGAGAGGTTTGATGAGTCCCTCGTAGTCCTGAGGATCTTCAGAACTCTTCATCGGTCTCAGGACATTCCCCTCACGGACCCCTGGCTGGACCTGGGGGGAATAGAACAGAGAGAGAGGCTGCCCCTTACCTTCATCCACTCACTAAAACTACCACAGTCCCACTAATGTGTAATTAATTATGGACGATATTAATGTATGAATTTGAGCTTGTGGCTAGGAAATTACCACAACACACACGTCTCAGTACAGTACAACAGCTAATTATTCTACAAGATGTTTCAGTGACAAAAGTATCCATACGCACTAACAGGCACCCACAACCATGAAAGCTACACACAAACCTTGCCTTGCACTGACCTATGTATGTACTTGGCAAGCGAAGCGGATTTTCTGTATGAATGTGTAATTTGTAAGTGAGGGGACTTATTCTGAAGTCACACATGAAAAATTGAGAACATACTCACATTTGCTCGCCAAAAGCAATCGTTCTAGTACACACGTCATGTAGTTGGCTATATACCTGTTCAGTAGTGATGGTTCCTCGAGGCAGTTTCTTGATCTCATCAGCAGCCAGTCTGTTGCTCTTGCGGACGATGCAATACTCCACCTCATCCATTACCTCCAGCTCTCGCGGGTCACAAAACTTGTTACACGAACTGCAATTTTGAAGAATGGAGAGAACTGATACACAATTGACCCTCGCTTATCTGGACACCAATTGTCTCAAATATCTGACCATAATCGTGCCTTGTTTTTTTAGTTATTGCCCTGTATAAAGTGCTTAGTGCCTCCTGAAAAATAAATGCACATCTGTCTCCCAGAATGCTCATTATGGAAAACGAAAGTCAGAGCTCCCCACAGATTTGTAGGGAGTTGGCAAGTCTACTGTTCTCTGCAGGGATATTTTCACATTATATGGCCATTTCACGTCATGACTCAGTCTCAAGGATATCAGTAGAGCGGAGGTCCACTGTATACAACAAGCAGGTGAGTAGCCAGAGTATATGGTGTGTGTTACACATGTAGTCATCTCACCTGAAGGGGAAGAAGAGCTCGCAGTCATGTTCCTCTGACTCTATGAATCCATAGCTGTCCTTCAGAGTCGCCACAAACCCCTGCACAATGTGTTGACAGGTTTAGCTTTGCTTATAGTAACATCTGTGGTGAAACTCATTATACTGTGGCCCCCTACAGTGCAACACACACATACTACTTGACCTGTTCTGTACACACCATTGTTTGTGCTGCTTCATGATAGACTTTTTACAGAAAAACCATTCAGACTCTAGGACAGCTTGGCTCCTTGGGTACACGTGGCACTGGCTCTTGGCAGGAAAGTGTAAAGTGCATTTGGTCACAGAGACAGACCAGGCACAGAGATTGTGGAGAGCTCAAAGAGATTGAGTAACCGATTCAATTTTTGAACCATATAGCATGCTATATAATCATACAGCCATTGCAGTAGCACCTTTATTATAAAGACATACCCTAAAACGGATGTCCTTAGACTTCTGGATGACCTTGATGTCGACGGCCGTGACCAGTTTGTCGTAGCTGCGAGTGACGACTCTGAACTCCACCTGGTCCCCGAACTGGAGGGCCTCAGATGCCCAGTAGTAGCTGACGACCTGGGGCTCCCCCGAGGAGTCCAGGTAGTGGATGGTCCCACGGTCACCGTCTCTGGAGGGAGGGGAGGGAGTGAAGGAAAAAGTGAGGGGGGTGGAAGGTGGATGAAAAGTGACATTATTGCTCTTGAGTGTACTACACTATAAACTCTGGGGCCCCAACTCAGGAGGAGTAGAATGCAGTTAAGTTTACATTTTCAGTAACAGTTCTTAATACTTAGAGTAGTAGAAACTTTTACTGAAAAAGGAATGGAAAGGCTTCTTTAACTGGGCCCTATTGTTTATATATGTAGTTCTAAATATAGGTTTTATGTACCGCCACAATCACATTAAAATCTTATATAATTCAGACGTATATATATGTACAGTTTCCTTAGAGCAAACACCCATCTAGTATCTCCCTCTGTGTCTTACGCCTGTATCTTGAGTATGTTGGGTTTGTTCCTGCCACACTCTCCTGGCAACTCGTCCTCCACACTCCCTGAGAACACCCTCTCTGATACCTCCTGTAGTCAATATGCACACTACACCTTCTACATAATGAAAAGCACTAAAGTGCAAGCACTCAGCGAACTGTGCATGTGCAGTACCGCTAATTGATGGGCTGGGCCTATTAGTATGCATTTACTTGCTGTCTCCCGCTAGTAGCTCACGGAGAGTCTGACACGCGCTGCTATAGTAGTAGATAGCATGCGGGAGTCGACACATGCCATTCGTTGTGACTTCTTGTGCCTTCAAAATACACAGAGCAAGCGGACGCGGTCGAGGTAAGCCTGTGCTAATTTGCATCAATGATTGCATGTTTGCACTATTGTACAACTGTTCCCACATACATAGTCTCTAGAGAGAGCCACTAAACCGACAGAATTCTGGAAGGGCTGACCTCAAACTGCACTGATCCAGGAGTCAATATCTTGACCCTCACTGCATGCAGCCTCTCATTGGTGTAGTCCTGTGGTGGCCAAGTGAAACAAACAGTCACTTAGGTCATGCATGTGTATACATACATACATACATACATAGAGATGTGACTAGAAAATTTTAATCTCTAAATCTTACGTTTTGGACAGTGAACTCCACCTCATCATGTTGAGTCAGCTTATGTTCCTGTACAATAAAATAGAGTTCTATTTGTATGCACTTGCATTGATGCAAAATATTCGACCTTCAAACCACAGGTTTCACACTAAAAATGCCTGCTTTTCATTTAGTTTGTTCAATTATACAAAAGCAAGTGTTGTAGACGTGAAGGACCAAATTGCGTGAGTGTTCATTCACGTACAGTGTCAATGACTTCATTGAAGTGGAAGAAAAGTCGCATGTCTCTCTCGGCACATCTGATGAAACCAAATCCATCCCTCAGAGCTGCTATCATTCCCTGGGGAGAGGAGGAGGAGGTATACACATACATACTCTAGAGTAACTGGCTGCCTGCAGTGCTTGTTTTTGCAACCATACTAAGTAAAATAAAGTGCAAACCCTCGGCAAACTGTGCATGTGCGATACCGCTAATTGATGGGCGGGGCTGTTAGTACGAGTTTATTCGTGGTCTCCCACTAGTAGCTCGCGGAGAGTCTGATACGGGCTGCTACAGCAGTAAATAGCATGCGGGAGTCGATACACGCCCTTCGTTGTGACTTCATGTGCCTTCAAGATACACAGAGCAAGCGGACCCGGTCGAGGTAGTAAGCCTGTGCTATGGCTCATTCACTTGGTTTTCACGCCATAACTTCAGAGCGCAGTAATTTGAGAAAATCGTCATATTTAAAAATAAGTCAGTGTAGCGCTGAACCAGTTGCTGCTGCTTTTTGGCCGGTTTGCTGCATGTGGTGGCAGAAAACGTGGTAATAGACAGACAGACAGACGGACAGACAGACCAAGTACTGTAACCCTCGCTGCGCATGTGCGCCGAGGGTTAACTAGACTAACCAAAGTTACTAAACAGCATACACACATAGCCGTGTACAAAACGTATATATACACTGCTCACAGTCTCCCTGTCCTTGGGCTCTCTCTGAGACTCTATCAGTTTGTGGAGAGTTACGTTGGTCGCCCGCACTGCTCCGTTCCGTTTGTCAGTGGCGATGGAGAAGTGGACAAATGTCCCCCGCTAGCATGGTGAAGTCGCCCACCTGGTCGTTGTGGGCGTAGGGGAGATTTGTGATACTGGGGAGGGTGTGGGGGAGGGGGGAGACGAGGACAGCTAATTACACCTTGTAGAAAGTCAATTTTTCATACACATACCCATCCCCCTCAGACTGGTAGACGAGTTCTCCAGGCTGTGGCTCCAGCTCCTTCCCGCGGCCGTGGGTGAAGGAGCGTATGACGGGTGTCCTCACTGCTCCCTGGAACAACTCCTCTGCCACCGAGTCAAACTGGACCGAGTCTGATGGGAGGACCTTGATCTGGGTCGCCACCTCCTTTCCCTGGGAGGGGGTGGGTGGGAGGGTGGTGGAAGATTGGCACTATGTATGCACAGCTACAGAGAATGGGGGAAGAAAGGACTGATGGACATGTAGGGTAAGGCGATTTGCACAGTGCATGCATACACAGGTAGATTGGGTATGCACTGTAAAGTCTCTAACTACATCTTTAAAACAAGGTGTGCAGGGTCTAGTTCGGGGTGGTTCAAGCCCATCGAACCTCCTCGAAGTGTGTGTGTGTGTGTAGTGCTTAAATACGAGGTAGAAAGGCAGAGGCGAAGCAAACAAGTCAACTACGTTCATCCACGGCTACATTTCTTATCCAAGGAATGTAGAATGCATAGGGCATGTCAAGCGACTGTTCAAAAGTACCAGTGGTTTGTGACTACCAGACAAGCCAGTCTCCCCCCTTCCGAGTTCACACCAGCCTTTATATCTGGCAACCTCACATTGGAAATTGTACACACACGCCCACCAATAGAGAGTGTGTACCTGTCTGCTCTGGATGACAAACTCTACACATGCTCCCATAGCCATCTCACTCTCTGCCCCTTGAGACAGCTCACTGTAGTGGAAGAATATCTGGAGAGAGAGAGAGGGGATGGGGTGAAATAAACCAAATGTGTTTGACTCTGTAGCACATCCATGTAGTTGAATTGTTTGCCTTTGCCTTGCGGCCTCAATGATGCTTGCATGCGTATACTTAGTTTGGAGTTGGGCGTCATTGGTGGTTTAGTTACCCCAGTCTGCTACTACATACATGTACTAAGTGAGAGTTGACTGTGCTATACCACAGCTGTTGAATGTTTGCCTTTGCCTTGTATTGTGTTGTAGATTTGAGCCCCTGCCTGCTGAGCTGCCCTGGTAGCTCAGTGGGTAAGAGCGCTCTGCCTAGACTGCAGAGTGTCGTAGGTTCGAATCCAACCCAGGGCAGCTCTTTCTTGGAAAAAAAGAGTTGTTCTGGGTGTACATAGTTAATTGTTTGCCTTTCCCTTGCGGCATCATTGATACTTGCATGTGTGCAGTTCAACACCCAAAGAAGGACAGGTGTGACATGAAACCATGTGCAGTGACAACGCCATTAAACTCCATTTAAAAAGAGAGATACGGTCATGTGTAGCTTGCAAGTATAAGAAGACAGGATAAAATCAGTTTAGTTACGCAGAAAGAAAGAGGGAACTACAATGACAGAGGAGAGGGGATAAGGAGAACTGACATCTCTCTCCACGTCGGCTCTCTCTATGAACCCAAACGAGTCTTTGAGAGTCTTGACAATTCCCTGGACTGTCTCCACCGTGGCTGGCTGGACCAGTCGAACCAGTCTCGCCCGCAGAGCTCCTGACCTGCGGTGGCAGGGGGAACAACAATTAGATGTGCAATTATGTACATACAGAGACAAAGTGAACTATTAGTATGTAGATGTTGCGAGGTTTAAATCGTGAAAACATACTCTAATACATCTGCACTTATATATTTGCATGGCTTACACCACATAGAGATAACATCTGGCTTGAAATCTCAATCATATTTACATGAAAACTCAAGGTTAACCTGTATAGTGCTTCAATTGCCGACCAATGACATCATAATTATGCAATGGTAAATGTCTACCAATGCCATCATCACCCTCGGCGCGCATGCACAGCGAGGGTTGCAGTACTTGGTCTGTCTATCTGTGTGTGTCTGTCGACGCTTATTTTGGCACTGCAGGCTACGAGGCGGCCTATTAGCAATACCAGTGGCTTCAGAACTACGCAAGCCTGAAAACTAAAAAGGGATTTTCCTTAAACGACTGCGTTCAAGAGATATGCCCTGATAACAAGCGAAAAAGCCAATATGCAAATCGCACTGGGCTACCGCGACCTGATCCGCTCGCTGTGTGCACCTTGGAGGCTCAAGAAGTCACAACTAAGGGCGTGTATCAACTCTCGCGTGCTATCTACTAGTGTGGCTAGCCGGCCTGTGTCAGACTCTCCGCGAGCTATGTACTAGCGTGGAGACCACACATACACTCTTGGCCCAACCCATCAATTAGCGGTACTTTAGTGCTTATCATTATGTAATGGTAAATGTTGAGACCTCTTGTTCTTGGCCATGTAGAAAGAGACCTCGTCTCCCTTGTGGATGTCCCTCTCATCGTTGACGTCAGTGAAGGCGTAGGGAATGAAGAAGAACTCTCCGCTGCGTTCGTAGATGATCCTCCCCATCCCTGGGTCCGCGTACGCCTTGCTGGACTGGAGCAACAGGCAAATACAAGAATGTGAAGTGTAGAGGCAATAGAACCACAAGGGCTCTTGCATTGTACTGTAGCTTTATGGGTTTCTATTGCTGTGCATAGATAACAAGCTGGCGTCAATCTTGGAAAAGGCTTTCATCTCCCTCCCTCCCTCCCTCCTTCCCCTCTCTCCTCCCTTCATCTTTCTCCCTCCAACAAAAAAACTCACCCTCCCTCCCTTGCCTCCTCCCTCTCCACTAGCACCAGAGCCACCACTGACCACCCTGGGCTCACAGTCCACTTCCCCCAGGAGTCTCTCTTCACTGATACTCTCTCATCTCTCTCTCTCTCCCAACTCACCCTGCCTCCCTTGCCTCCTCCCTCTCCACTAGCACCAGAGACACCACTGACCACCCTGGGCTCACAGTCCACCTTTCCCAGGAGTCTCTCTTCACTGATACTCTCTCTCATCTCTCTCTCTCTCTCCCAACTCACCCTCCCTCCCTTGCCTCCTCCCTCTCCACTAGCACCAGAGCCACCACTGACCACCCTGGGCTCACAGTCCACCTTCCCCAGGAGTCTCTCTTCACTGATACTCTCAAAAGACACGGTTCCAGCCGGCAGTTTCACCAGTCGCCGGGCGATCAGCTTGTTGGTACGAGAGTCCGTTCCAACTTCAAACTCTATCTCATCTGGGGAGAGAGTACACGGATATACACATTAAGATTATACAAAAGATGTGTAGAGACATTGTGTAGTAGTATACATACATACAGTACTGGTCATTAAAAAGTTAAAGTATATACTGTACCTGACTGCAAGTACAGTTACTGCACTGTTTTGGTACTGTTTTTGGGTACTGTTTTGGTACTTTTTTTGGTACTGTTTTGGTACTGTTTTGGTACTGTTTTGGGTACTGTTTTGGGTACTGTTTTGGGTACTGTTTTGGGTACTGTTTTGGGTACTGTTTTGGGTACTGTTTTGGTACTGTTTTGGTACTGTTGTGGTACTGTTTTGGTACTGTTTTGGTACTGTTTTGGTACTGTTTTAGTAGCGTTTTGGTACTATTTTGGTACTGTTTTAATAGCGTTTTGGTACTGTTTTGGTACTGTTTAAGTACTGTTTCAGTACCGTTTTACTAGTACCGTTTTACTAGTACCGTTTAGGTACTGTTTCAGTACTGTAACGTACGGTACTGTACTTTAACTTTTTTAATGACCAGTACTGTAGTGTACATACACAGTACAGGGTCAGTATACAGGAGGTATGATCCATAAATTATGAGGCATAAAGCCGCAAAACCAATGTCATCCTGGTGTATAATTTAATCAAGGTACAAGAATAGGGCTGTGTAAGGAATTGAGTGCTATGCAGTAGTACATATTCCTTTTAACAACTCAATGTACAATACTACAATTTGTAGAGATAAGATTCTGTGTGATTTTGTGGCTGATGGTTTTACAGTAGATTTACACAAACAGTGGCAGTTGATAGTAGACCATAATGTACATGCTCTGTAATATAATGACACACATTATCAATGAGGAAACTTACAATACCTGTTTGTGGCATACTACTATATACTACACATACCAGAATCAACCTCAAGAATGACAATTGGAAAAAAGAAACTCAGTGGGAATGACATTCCTAAACACCCACAAGAATGAGTATTAAAATTTTCCTAACAACAGTTCATGCATGCAATTTAACCCCAGATACAAGGAAACTTTCTTCAGTGCCATTAAGCGTGTCCGGTTGGTTTAGAGGGATTATGTAACAACCAGTAAACTCTGAGACTCAAAGTGTTTATATATAATTATAGTAGCCAGTGGTAAAGAGCGTATGGCTGACCTCCAGCCCGCAGGTCGGAGCTGTTGCCACTGTACTGGGAGAAATGGAAGAAGATTGACTCGTTTCTCTCACAGCAGATGATGAATCCAAATGTTGGCTGTAGATGGAGGGAGGATGAGGAGGGGGACAAGGAGGGAGGGGGACAAGGGAGGGAGGGAGGGATGGAGGAGGGAGGGATGGAGGAACAGATGCAGTGTTATGTAGCTAAGTAATGCGTGTACAGTAAAATCATAAAGTTAAGACACTTGAGTATGGAAGCCTTTTCTACTGTATGAATACATGTTTCCATTATGTTCTGTCTCATGTACAGGGTGGGGGGTTGCCAGCATTCTTAACATGCACTTAAATATTGTACATGTGACCATGTAACCGAGACAGAGTTGAGAGCTGTCTAATTGACTGCACATTCCACACAATGTCAAACAGAACAAGAACAGTAGACTAACCATCAGCTTGTCAATGATGCCAGTTTCTCTGATACTGGGAGGAGTGGAGGGGGGTGGAGGCAGAATCGGCATTGAGAGATACATATGGAGAGAGGAAAACAAGAGGAGAGAGTGGTGGGGAGCCATAGCAGAGTATATGTACATGTACAATACACATAAATCTTAAAGTGAGGTGTGGGAGTGTGCAGATGCAAGTGATGAACAGCCAGAACAAAACTCTTTTCAAAGAGATGCCCAGGGTGGGATTCAAACCCACGACACTCTGCAGAAGAGTGCTCTACTTACTGAGCTACCAGGGCAGCTCACCTCACGCAGGTACAGTGCAACCTCCGAAGAAGGGACAGTATGAGGACGACCCTTTTGTCCCCTCTAGGGAAGTTGTCCTGTTTCAGAGGTTCTCACTTTTACACGTGTTTTTATTGCAACAGTAAATATGTGGTGTTGCTGCAGTTATCCACAAACAATATATGATCACAACAAAACATGTTCAAAAAAGGTAGTTACACAGTTTCGGTAAGCCATGGACTATGTAGCAGCACAAGGATGGTAGGATAGAACACACAGAAGTTGTAGCTACTGCAGGAGACCTATCTGTGGTAGACTTCCAGTCCTACAATGTAAGGGGGTACGCTTACCACGCGTAGGTTTACGCAAAGCTGGAGATATATACCGTGCACTCACCGTCTCCACGGTCGAAAACACTACTGGCGTTCAGCTGCACAATCGATTCAGTATCGTAAACACGGGCCCTGCATCGCAAAGCGTAGCGGACACGGGGTACAGTGTGGTCTAGCCTCACGGAGCCACACATTGAGAAGGCATGTCTCCGCGAGGCTATGTGTGGTCGTGGAGGCACGGCTAGCTGTCCGCTTTCAGAGGCAAAATATGTATGGGTTATAGTACGTTGGGGACGCGCAGGTGTCCACTCTACGGAGTTCGGGGGCGTCCTCTCCTCGGAGGTTTCAATGTATATTACATGGGAAGTTCAATCGGGGGCAGCGCAACTGTCCGCTCTAGGGGTGGTGTCTGCACTAGGGAGGGTCTGCTCTCAGAGGTTCCACTGTACATATGTACACACACACAATCCAAAGGCAAACCTCCAGAAAATCATCACAGGGATTACGGCATGAAAATTGCACAACTACAGTGGTATTAGACTGTAAAACAAACTACAGAGCTAAAAAAACAGCTTTGCACCGATCATCAGACTATTGAGCATCAACACAATCACTACGGTTAGTTTACTGTACACAGCCCCCCAGCGGCTTACTCAATTACAAGAGACACAGACACTGCATTAGCATAGCCGTTTGTGAGTAACTGCAATTGCACACGTGGTTTCCCTCCACAATCCAATAGTCTATTGTGAACAAGGGCACCCACCATCCACATTATAGTTGGCACGGGTGTAGCTAATACAGTGGGTTCAAAGCAGGAACCGACCCAACAATAAGGGCATGTGGCTTGCAGCATACACATGTAGACACAGTGTGCTACACGTACAGGCCAGAGAAACAGCATTGTAGGCACACAAAATGAACGTGTTTCCCACACAAGTTGGACAATGTGCTTCCCTACACTTCAAATGCTGCCAACTGGTTATCAAAAACACAGTCTCCATTAAAAGAGACCCTTACTAGCACACTATGTTGTCAAAAGGAGTATATAGGCTATAGAACATGGCAAAGAAAACCAGTCAGGGGTTCAACTCCAAGATGGCATCTAGTGCGCAGAGGTCTTGATCCCAAAAAAGAAGTCAAATATCACTGTACACGACTCGGGGACCAAACACTCTCCCATCTAACCATATACCAACATTAACGTTATCATGGCTTAATTTTCTATTGGGTTGTAAACTTGGGCTACACATTGGCAGAGCTCCAAGGTCTGATGTCCATACATGACTCAAGACAACATATTATATAGTAGAGCCCAAATGCAGTTGATTGTACTATATAGGGGGTCTAGTCATACACAGAGCAGCCCTTTAAAACAGGGTGGGTCAAGTCTTGGGTAAAACAAAATAGAGGGTATAGGGAGTGAGGAGTTGAGAAAGAAGGAGGGTACATTACCTGCTCAGTGTGTTGGGGTAGATGGGGCTGGCAGGAGAAGCGCTCATCACAGCCCCTCCTCCTCCCCCACCACTGCTCTTGCTGAAACTGCCCTGGCTGTGGCTGCGGTTGAGGCCAGAGCCCATCTTGACTTGGGCCGACGAGGACACCAGTGAATTGGACGACGCCATTTCGCAATACAACAGCCAACTTTTCCAAAAACTTCCCGAAACTGAAACTTGTTTGTATGCAGTCCAATTCTTATACGTTGGTCTTCAAAGATCAACAGTGTATACAATTGTATGAAGATTCAGTGTCTGTAGTTTTCAAATCAGATCGTATATTAACTCTTGTCCGTTAGGAATAGTGCGTAGTTTACTTGTTGCCGTGGCAGTGTTTACAAACTGCCTGAGTGCTCTTGCTTTGCAGAAACGCAGCCACCGTGCGCTCCCTTGTCTGCTTTCAGTGGTACCATACAATACAGCGTCTGAAGCCGTCACGAATGTCAGATTTTTTTTCAATGGATTACAATACCATTCTGTTTGCCTAAAAATTTTGTATGAGTGATTGCCGAGTGATTGTGAAATATTTTTAGAGAGTTGCGGTGATCGAATTCTTCTGTCGCGTAAAAAAGTTAAAAGGGCAGGGAAACGATACCTATGAGTAGAGAGAAAATAAGTGAACAAACAGGAATGTGGTAGACAGTAACCACATGTGCAATATACTGTGCTATACTGTGCTGTGCAGAAAGGAAGATAAGGGGGTCAATTCAGTTTCAGGATTGCCAAGCAACTTTCTCATTTAGACAGAACAAAGGAGACCTTCTAGAATATAGAGCCACCGTGTTCAGCTACACGAACGACATGCAAAATCAGACTGACTTGAGAAGTTGGAACCACACAGCGCAGCCGACTCACCTAAAATTCAGGGGTGTTCTGATAACACACACACCGTCTCCGGCAGATGTGTTGGTAGGTGGATCGGAGGGATAGGGAGCGGGCGTTCTTTTACTGTCTGTCGGGTTATAGGCAGAATAGTATGGCGTTTGCTGTCGCTTCGATGTACCAACTCTTTCCTTCTCTCTCGAGGTTGGAGCGGTAGCTGCAGGTACGGACGGACGGGGGGAGAGGGCTACGACAATACGGGACGAGCAGAGCAAACACACAACACAGATAGAGGGGATCTGCAGAGATAGAGAGAGCTGGAGTTGGGGGTCCCTCCCGGCAGAGTGGACGGACTAATCTACGGAAAACGAACCGGGAATTTTGTTCGCTACGTGGCGAAATTAGTTTGCGGTTACGTCACGGAAATCGATTTTTATGTCGTAGCTAGGCAACTCGGGGCCAATAAACAAATCGAACCAAGATGGATGACACCGACGTGCCGTTGTTTCCCGAGGCTCCTGCAGTGACGGTAGAGCAGACACTGGCGATTATCAAGCCAGACGCCATCCATTTTGCGGACGAAATAGTGGAGGAGATAAAATCGCGAGGATTCACTATCACACAGGTGAGAGGCAAGCTCAGCCTACTAAACGGCCCGTGTCAAACATTTTGACAACGTTATAGACTATTATGCCCCTCTGAATAATGCTCCTAGGATATCATTAGTGGTCCTCAGTAGGGAGATGTTAAAAGTGTACCACGGCTAAAGCAGTGTATCTACTTCTGGTTCCTATATAACACAGCTAAGCAAGGCACTTTAGCTAAACTATTAGTGTGGTTGAGATAATTATTATGCTGTACATGGTTGATGTGTTACTTCATAGCATGTCACCAAGAGCATTTGGAGGTGGCAGCTAATTATTTCACGTCTAGACTACTAGGTATGTGGTGTATAGTGACTGATTAATTGTGCTGTCCGTGTGCTCAGAAACGGCGCCTGAGACTAAGTCCTGAGCAGGCGACTGACTTCTACGCTGAGCACTATGGCAAGATGTTCTTCCCAAGTCTCATTGCCTTCATGCACAGGTCTGCTGTAAAAAGTCTATATATAATGTAGCTTCCATTGTGCACTCTGGTGTGAAACAAACCACTCAGGACTATTATATTAGAGAACCTGGTAAAATGGGTGTGTACATGCAATGTATACACCCATTAGCCAATATACAAACAAGAAATCCTTAATAATAACATGCACACAAGTACACTAAAGTAGTTCAGGGGCTAGCTAGTAAGTCGTAACTTTAGAGACCACTGCATACAAATCACTACAAACACATCCGTACTTGGGCCACGCTAAAAGGCACAAATCTGTCACAAAGTCACACACAACATGCATGGCATGATGGTCCACCCAACACTATGTATACCACAGGTGTCATGAACACTACTTAGTAGTGATCTTGACCAGCTGATCTTGACCTTCAGTGACTTATCCTCTCTATCACATCAGTGATGACATTCTGGTGCTAGTGCTGGCCAAACCAGGTGCAGTGCAGGAATGGAGGGAAATGATTGGACCAACCCATCCTAACAAGGTCACACACATTATGCTTTTGTCAACTCAATATGCTTATTTGTACATGCACTCTCGTTTCAAGACTTCTTGGCAAACCTCACTGCATGCATGAGCATGCAGAAAAAGGCAATTTAGAATGTGTCGTACTATATATAGACGTCATATCAATGCAGAAAAAGGCAAACAGTGATTAACAGCCCCTCTCCCCCCTGCAGGCTCGCCAGTTGTCCCCAGAGTCCCTGAGGGCACGTTATGGTACTGATCAGACCCGTAATGCAGTCCACGGCAGTGACAGCTACTTTGGAGCAGAGCGAGAGATCAGATTCATGTTCCCCGGGAGTAAGTCGTCTGGCGATATGTAAACCACATAATAATGAACAAGAGTCGTCTAAATGGTGTAAAACAGCAAATAGCCTACTATAATAATAGATGACTAGTAGATCATAATACTTTCCACTACGCACAGTACATCTGTATATACTATAGTTTCAAATCATGAGGTCTGGTCCCTTGGTGAATTTGTGGATGCTCATGATTTATTTACAACTTGCAGCTGCTTTTCCACCTGCTTATACATTGTAGTACGTGTTTGTATGATTCACAGCCGTAACAGAGCCGGTGTATGGAGGTCAATTAGCCAGGGACTACCTCCAGGCCAAGGTGAACCCAGTCCTGGTCCAGGGCCTCACCCAACTCTGCAAACAGAAGCCAGAGGACCCTGTGGTATGCACATACCTTACTTCACTTTCACCAAATACATGGAATGAAGAAACTGCACTTGTGTGCACATAGAACTCACAAAAAGTATATTTCCTGCAAAAGTGCTCAGGCAAATGACTCTATCCGTTTCCCAGATGTAATAGACAGAGGAACAACCCATCTCTATATAAGAACATGCCTGAAATTCAAGATATAATTATACCTCTCTAATAATTATGGATATTATACCTTTTCTTCTTCGATCCTCACATTAAGATTATTTATAGGTACACACCTCACTAAATATTTTGGACAATTTCTTCTGTCCTATTGGTGTCAGTATCATACAGTAGGAGTCAAAAAAGTTTCCAATAACGTTCCGTTTATTTCCGTTTACTGTTTACTATCGTTCTGTTTAGTTTCCGTTCAGTCTCCATTTAGTTTTACCGTTCCGTTCCATTCCGTTCCCTTCCGCTCCGTTACTATATATAAATAATTATATGCAATAGAGGAGTTTAGCACAGCAGAACACTGTCGACGTTGTAATTGTACATGTCTGTCAAGTAAAACAGCCTGTTAGACACCGGTTGCAGTTCACTGACGAGCCGGGCCTGGGTGTTCTGCATAGATATAATGGTGTTTTCCAAAGAAGACACCCTCCTTGACAGCTTTTCTGTGTTGAAAGAGACACTGTAAAATGGTTTAAATGTCTGAAATGCATACCGTTTTTAACTATTTCCTCCAAAAGAGCCAAGGGGCTTGAGGGTTGTAAAGCATCCCCAATCAACTGAGTGAGATCTGTATCAGTCAGTCAGTGACATAAACAATAATGATTACTATCTATACAAACCCTTGATAGCTGAGGGGTTTCCAACACAGGTAGTAGCTTGGGGAGTAGCGGGGAGACTAACTGTGGGAGTAGCTGGAGGAGTAGTTGAGGGGTTTTGGTCAGAGGAAGCTGGGAGGTGACACGAACGTGAGGGAGATGGAGGTGAGGCTACTGGAGGAGAAGCTGGAAGGGGAGGTTGGGGGTTTTGGTCGGAGGAAGCTGGGAGGGGAGGTTTTTCAGCTCGGACTTCCCCTTCATTTGCTGCAGTATCTGCATGAATATGAACGTACATAGTATGCACTGTTGCACAAGAAAGAAGAGAAAGTTACCAGACATGGCGCCATGCTCGGTGGCAATTACTATTCTAAACATTCCTCCTGCAGTTGACTGTGAAAAAAGACTGCCATTAAGCCCAAACAATGTTTCAAACTAACCCTGACTCTTTCTCTTCTTCGTCACTGAACCTTGTTCACCCCTCCCTATCTTCTTTCCCTGTCTGTTCTTGGCAGCAGCAGCTGAGATAGAAGTATAAGTTGCGCACTATCTCAGGTCATATCATTACACTCTCACATTTCTGTTGCTTCTCAACCGGCGCAGAGTTCTCAACCTCCTCACTCTCTTGCTCTCCCCGCTCCAGCTCCAGCTTCCTCATCTCCTCCTTAGTGCCTTCATAGACAGAACTCTATGTCATGCATGCCCGTCTAGACAGCGCGTCTGTTACATGCATCTAGAGTAAATACAAGATTTTGTTTTTGGCTTCAGCTGCGCCCTCGATACCTCAATTCAAACTTTAACAATCATTTTCTATATAAAACAATAAGATAGTTGTTTAATTACCAACAGCAGAAATGACTACCTTGAAAACTCCTTGGCCTGTTGTCACATTCTCCACAGCGCTGCCAACGCTGTACACTCCATGGATGATTGATGCTCAAGCATGGGACCACGGAGTAGCTTTCCTCCCCAACCCAGTCCACCAGAGCGCTTGGGGTTTAGTGTAAACAGCGCGGTTTTCGCTAACGGATTTCCTGTTGCGCGAACGCGCGGGGGTGCGCAGCCAGGCCGAACCGCCTTCGGCCCACACACGGGACGCCACGCTGGGCGCTTCCTGCGCGCGGCTGCGGGCACCGCGACGGATCTTACCCTGGTCGTGACGGTGCTGCTTTATCGATGCACGAAGAGACATCCCCAGTTGAATCGGCGCAACTGGCAAAATAAAATCCGCGCTTGTAGACTGCCGCGCGTGAAGTGAAAAAAAAGAAACGGAAAGACACGCAACAGAACGGAACGCCAACGATAAATCAACGGTTTTTCAGTAGGAAACGGAACGGAAACGAAAAGCAACGGATTCATATTGGAAACTTTTTTTGACTCCTACTGTATTAGAGAGGTTCCACCACATATATATATATAGTGAGTGATGTATTGTGTGTCTCTGTGTAGACGTGGCTGGCCGAGTGGCTGTTGCAGAACAATCCCAACAAACCACTGGTGGAGGAACCACTGACATGACTACGACTGTCACGAGCCCCTGCAATTATCACACCATAATGACCTCTGTATAATTATACAAGTGACCGATACTTGACATGAAAGCCCATGTATACACATCTTTAGCAACAGACACAAACTATGCGATTTTGGATTTTGCAGGAAAGACACACGTACCATTTACGTGTGTGCGTAAGAATGATGGCTCCAAACAGACACATTGAATTTTGGAAGAAAAAAACAATAGAAATCCGATGATACAAGATATTAAGATACGCAATGCATATACACGACAGGACTTGATTTACTGTACTTTATGTATTGTCTATACCTTTGCATGGCAAAGTTCACAAAACATTGCATTGGCCAGTCACACTGTGCCACGAGGATAGATATGCTCTTGACTTGAACACGTGGTGGTGGTGTGACAGGACCATGCGGTGTATTGTACGTAAACCTAGCCTAAGAGTTGAGACAGGGAGAAACAAAGAGAAAGGGAAGAATAGTTAGTCTTATTGATGAATGCAGATCAACTTGAGGTAGCTGAGACAAAAGTTGTGATTAGTTAGTCTTTGGTAGCTGCAGATCGACGTGAGGTAGCTGATCTCTGTGATGACTGTCTCGAGCTACTAGCAGACTTCAACCTCCCACTGCCACTGAATGATTGAGTAACAACAACAGGCAAGCATTACAGCACGGCGACTACATCAATTAAACCTGCAACCCTAGCTAAAACAAGAAACTGAAAAACAAATTCGAGCAATAAAGAGCCATTCAGAAAACATTGGGACAGCCCGTGCATAGTTGGCTGGGCCAATCTGCAAAATTTAATCTGTGGAATTTGGTTCAGCTTACTTTCTCTTCTGACACTGACCTTTTCTCTCTGGATGGTTTTGCTGCCAATAGTTTACCAACTTCCACCACATTGATACCAGTCATCTCCACTGCCCCACATCCACTGCCAGTCATAATCTCCTCCTCCCTCTGCTGTGGCTGTTGACTGTGACTGAGATAGTGAGTCTGGTCCACCTCCAGTCGATGAGGAGCAAATACATTGAACCAGTACTGCCACAGAAAATGTGTGTGTGTGTGTGTGTTTGCATGGGGGAAGAGAGAAAGAAAGAGTGCTAGGGATTGAGAGGCTTTTGTCCGTGGTCACATGCATTGGATTTTAGAATGAGTGACGGCAGTCCCACCACCCATCCCCAAACCTAACAACCTGGGAACCCTGTCTCTCTGTCTTGTTTTGTCTGTCATCAGGGGAGCTCATCGTGTAGGTCACAGGTTTCGGTCCCTTTAATCTCCCGACCTGCGCCTCACTACCACTGAGGCGGGACCACTCCCACGTAACGGAGTCTGGTATGCACACAGTATTGTCAGTTTGTCTTGCTAAGCTTATAGTGTGTCATGCTATAGTTGCAGTTTCTCTGTTTTTCTAAGTCCTATTTTAGGTTGTGTCAGTAAAAGAAGGTAGTATGCATGCACAGCAAGTTTACCTACTGCCTTGTTGTGACAAGATCAGACAAGATACACACACCTGCCTTGGGTCAACCACCCAGTGGAGTAACAATAATTTCGTGGGGGGCTCAGCATGTCCGTGGTTTTTACTACAATTACAGGGATGGCAAAGGGTTACTCTGAATGTGCATCTTCACCAGCATCGTTCTACAGTGATATCTCTGCAAGGGGACACTTTGGAAACATTGACAGTGTCCTAATATCAGAGGTCTCCCGTATTCGGAGATAGTCTTATTCACAAAGTCTTTGTATGCATACCTGCTAGATTCTGCTGGCACTAGCGGATCCCTACTCTGCAGGCGAAAGGCGGAGTTTCTATTCTCCTGTGTACAGAGTTTCTATTCCTGTGTACATATGCATAAAAATTGTGTGGAGTTTGATTGCAGCGACCACATATGCGTGGTACAGTTACACAAGACTACGCAACTCTACGGCATGCACCATACTGTGTTAACAATGCCTCTTAGTGTAGAGCAAAACCAAGTGTCCATTATATAGAGGGTGTCCTTGTTTCCAGAGTCTGGATTTACGTATATGTGCATGCATTTTTAGTTTTACCCTCGGCGCGCATGCGCAGCGAGGGTTACTGTACTTGGTTTGTGCGTCTGTCTGTGTGTCTGTGTGTCCGTTCACGTTTTCTGCCACTAGACGCAACAAGATCGCCAAAACTCTACAGCAACGGGTTCGGCGCTATATTTGCTTCATTTTTAAAACTGGCGATTTTTGTAAAAACACAGCGTTCAAATTTATGGCGTGAAAAGCAAGTGAACAGGCCAATATGCAAATTAGCACGGGCTTACCTCGACAAGATGTGCTTGATCTGCGTACCTTGGAAGCACAAGACGTCACAATGAAGGGCGTGTATCTACTCCCGCATGCTATCTACTACTGTAGCTAGCCCGTGTCAGACTCTCCGTGTGCTACTAGCGGGAGAGTAAACGCATACTACGGCCCCGCCCGGTAAATTAGCGGTATCGCGCAAGCGCAGTTCGCCGAGGGTTTGAACTTCAGTGCTTTTTCTTTTTTTATGTGCAATGACTGGGAAGCAAATGCTAGGCAGTATCATCTAAAAACTATAGTTACTGCATAACATGGTGCACTGTACTCAAAAGCCATATTGAGGGCTGAGTCTGTTAGAAGTGAGAGCATATGGCCACTGTCTGAGGCCCAAATGTACAGTGGCCAGTCGGAGGTAGTCAGAGAATGAGGGACTCAGCTGATGCCAGCTTAGACCTAGGTCCAATAGCCATACACTGCAGCTATCACCTGCAGTCAGTGTGTGTAGCATTGACTATAAAGCTCTATAACAGCATGGCAAAATGAGTCTGCAGGTCGAAACTGCAAAATTTGGTAGCAGAGTGGGATGGAAGGCCTCAAAAATTTTGTTTTGTGCGCACGTACGTCCGCATGCATGCGGACGGAACATGATAGGAGGGGCTAGGCAGCGACGTATTCCCAAAGGGCGGGGCGGATCAGGGTAAAATGGCGTCGCCTTTTCAGTCTCCACGAGCGTTTCCGGGATCTCCAAGAGCCCAGGACGAGGAAGAGAAATGCTCAGTGTGTCAAGAACCACACACAGAACCACGAATCCTCTCCTGTCTCCACGTATTTTGCACCAAGTGCCTCCAGGGGCTCCTGAACAAGATAGAGGGCGGCGAGAAACTCGTGTGCCCCAACTGCAGGGCGGAATACGACCCTCCGTTGAACGTGGAGGAGTTCCCGCTAGACCACGCCGTACAGAGATCGGCAGAGTTTCGCTCGTTCTGCGAGGCGGAGGACGAGAAGGCGGGGCCGTGCAAAAACTGTGAGGAAGAAGGCGAGACGGACGCCTACTGCGGAGAATGCGGCGGAGGGATATGCGGTAAATGCGTCCAAGAACACCAGAAGATGAAGGTGTTTCGTGAGCACAAGTACACGGCCTGGAAAGACCTCTCCGAGGGTAACTTCAATCTCCACAAGCGCCAACGCACATGCAACATCCACGAGCTAGGTATCCAGCTCTACTGTGAGCGGTGCAACACTTTCTTATGCTCTCTGTGCCTCAAAGGTAGACATGCTCGGCACTTTCAGAGTGCAAAGTCGCTCCTGGAGGTCAGTCGTACAAGGCAGACAGAAGTGAAGAAAATGAGTGATCATGCAGAAACGCAGTTTTGTGTCCTCGAATCACGAATGACAGAACTGAAGCATATGGAGGGTGGTTTGGCTAACTATCCCGGGAGTCTGGAGCTGAGCATCACCAGCACGTTTGAGAGCTACATGAAGCAAATTGAGCTGTACTGCCGTCAGATGGTTAACGAGGCTCAGCAAAGGTGCTCTGAGATGACGAAAGGGCTGATGGCTCACAAGACAGACACAGAAAACGCAATGGAGAAACTAAAGACTGGAATACAGTTTGCAAAGAGGGCAGCCACCTGTACGAATGACGACGAGATCATTGAAATGAGTGGCCTGGCCATCAACCAACTCAAGAGCACCATGAGCAGCTGTGACATCTCGCCACTCAGACGCCCACTGGTTTTCGAAAAGAAACAACTGAAACTCGGTAGGCTGCGAGAGATACAGGAACGTGACATTCGCGTTGAGCCGCCGGAGTTCTGCTTAATGAACACAGAGAACCTAATCACAGTCAAATTCATTTTGCCCATCAACACAAGACCGGTACTGAAAATCCTATACGGAAGTCAAAAGCAGCGTTCGGTCTTTCTAGCCCTGAAAGAACCCACTGAAAGGGAGTGTACACTACCCTTTTCCCTCGCTGTGCTGGAAAACACACGATCGAGGTCTGGGTGGCTGGGGCCGTGTGCAAGAGATGCGATGATGTAATGGTGGTCTGGGGTGTGCCCGAGGATGCCAGTGTGGTCAAGCCGGGCCCTGACTGGAAAGGTGGGGAGGGAAATGTGACCAGGGGAACTGTTCTGAGCAAAGAGCCGGATGTGACGAATGGAGCTCTCATTTTTGGCGATGGGGAGGAGCAAGAGTCGTTCAAGGTCAAAGTCCAGTGGGATAGTGCTGATGTCATCGAGTATGAGTGGGGGAACAATGACGAGTACGAACTGGAACTTGACATGTAGCTCATGTCCGAGAATAGCTGGGAATTAGGTGGCTTTTACTTTTTTACAAGTATGTATTGATATTGAACGTGTTGTTTTATATTGGCAAATGAAGTGAGTCTTGCTATACTTGTCATAATCGTGTGATTTTCCTTAACCAATGAACCTCTGAACCACTTGACAAATGCGCATGCAACGGTCCTACTACGTGTATACATTCCATGACTCGCAATTGCGCCTGCCATAAATGTGTGCTAATAATACCAATGTTGACAGCAGATTCAGTGGAACCTCTGAAAAAGGGACCCAACTTGTAGAGAGGTCATCACTATCTCGAAGGGTCCTTTATCGGAGGTTCCACTGTAAATTTGTTGAAATTTCCTTCCATGCATGTGCACTTGCCTTGAATTAACACGCAATGGAGAAACGTTTCACCCACTCACTTTTATCAGTAGTAGTAGTAGGAGTACATGGTAGTGGTGAGTGTTTTGGAAAGACGAGACATGTGTGACCACATGTGGGGCAGTAGTCCAGCACCATCACTGAACACTCACCCAGCAGGGAGGGCACACAGCCGTTCTCTGTGGGGTAGCAATGAATCATGAGCTTATATTGCAGCACACAATTATAGAAGAGCATACATAATTGGAGTAATGCAAGGCCATATTATTTACAGTTGAACCTCTCACATAACTGAGAACATGAACAACAGGCTATTAATGATGATTTGATCCCGTGAAAACACCTAGAAACTAGGTAGGATAATTTGCATGGTGCAGGCATAATTATGGGGTTGGTTGTATTATTTGTATCTTACATATTATGCATGGAACAGAAGCCGACTACAAAAAGTTAATCTGCTGTATGTTATACTGGAGTCAGGTGGTTCCAGGTCTGCCAGAGAAGGAGACGATCTCCTGGACTCATCAGGATCAGGGACCAGGGGTCGAAGGTCATTGAGTGATGGTATGTGGATTCTCCCTACTGGCACTACAGTATCTGCTGCAGTAGAGGAAACAAATTTGAATAGGGGACTTTCATTTGTATGAGCTCCAGGGGACAGTTCAATTGCAGGTTTTTCACTATAATTATTATTAGCTAAGTTCTAGTTGGGTTAGTCTGTGGGTTCAAATCCCACCCAGGGCAGCTCTTCTTCTTTTCGTTGAATAGAAAGAGCTGTCCTGGGCGTAGCTGACTTGTTTGCCTTGCCTCGCCTTTCTACCAAGTTGTTGAGACATATATTGCCTAGGGCTCGCTTAGGCAAGGAATGATATGATCCATTGGAAAACAAATCACCCATATATTTTTTTAATGGTTAACAGGAACGCAAGTGATCTTTCCACTGTAAATATTATATCAATTTCCCAATTGGGGATAGACCTTGATGTCGTTGGCAAGTCCATTCTAGTTTGAGTCCGTTGTGGGTTAGGTAGAACATCTTCACGTCTTCCGGCAACACACAGCCACACCTCTGGACCATGGAAATACCACACAATCTAACAAGTGACGCCAACTTCTTTTACTCAAGGTTTTGTACTAAAACTAGCTGTAATAAAGGCACAAGGTATTGTGTCTTGGAGCAGTGTTATATACCTTTTCCCAACTGGAGATCTCCACATCACTAGCAGGTCTCCCGGGCTTCAGAACCACCTCCTTCACTCCCTGTTTGCTCTCTGCGTGTACATAGATTATCT